GTTCTGATTCTGGCTAGCCAGTGCCGTGGGCCCACTCACTCCTGGGTCAAGGGCTAAAATCAAGTTCCTAGGAAGCCAAAGTAGGGACCACATCCTGCCAGGCGCGGCCTGGACCTCCTGCTTTGGTGGCTCTTCAAATCCAGGGGGGTTGAGTCCAGGTGTTGCTTATTAAGCACCTAACACTCTGCGTCTGAAACTGCAGCGCTCACAGAACCCGGAGCCTCGCAGGAGGTGGGAGGCGATTGACTGGCTCGGATGGCAGCCAAGGCACGTCCTCCCAAGGGCTCGGACTGGCTGGAACGTCACCCCGAGTGCGGCCCCTTCTCCTGTCCTCTCGGGAGGGGCCGTCAGCTGGTGGGCGGCTCTGAGTTGCTGCTCCCCCTGGCGTGGTCCAGATTGGATGGCTCTGCAGCGGCTGTTTTGTGCTCTACCAACAGTGCCTGGGAATCCTTCATTTCCATACAAAGAAATCACTCACACAAGGGCCTTTGTGTGTGGAGCAGACTTTACTGAAGATTTGGAGACAAAGGGGGTTTACAGGGCAAAATACAAAAAACTTAAAGTTGAATCAGACATCCATGAGCTCAGAGACACGGTTTTCTCCCGCTGGGCTCCAGCCTTCCACGAAGGTGCGTGCCCACTACACCGTCCTGTCTCAGGAAGTAACACAAAAACCAAATTCTGGACAGTTTCTTATTCGGAGTGGCTTGGCCCTCCCTTTCGAGAGTTATTTTCTCAATGAAGAACACCTGCTCCCCTGTTTCTGACCCCAAAGTGAGGAGGAAAGTCTGCCCGACCAGGAGCCCCGAGGCCTCCTCTCTGTCTTTTGAGGGGCATCGGAGCAGAGCTTTTGCCTCTCTAACAATGAGTGTGTGTGTGTGTCTATGTGGTGAGTGTATGTGTGTGTAGGTGTGTGGTATACGCATGTGTGTACATGATGAGTGTATGAATGTAACCGTATGTGTATACACTGTGTGTAGGTATGTGGTGCATGTGTATATATGAGTGTATACAGTGAGTAGGTATGTGGTGAGTGTATGAGTGTGTGTAGGTGTATATAGTGCGTAGGGGTGTGTGTGTCTAAGTGTGTGTGTGTGTGTGTATGCAGCGTGTGAGTGCTGTGTGAACACGTGAGCGTCCGTGGCCGGGGTCCTCTTCGCCTGACTCGCTGCCCCTCTGCGCCCCGCGGGCCAGGTGTGGACCCCTCCCCTCACAGGTGTGGGCCCGCCCCTCACAGGTGCGGTCACGTTCTTCCTCCCCACAGCCAGCCCACTTTATTCCCATTTCACACATGAGGTTAAGAAGGTTCCCGGAGGGTAAGTCACTCGCCCAAGGTCACACGACTTGTAAGAAGCCAACTCAGTCCTGGAGCAGCCTGGCTCCGGGGCTTCCGTTCTCAAGAACAACTTATCCGGAGTTACCTTCTCATTTCCTGTCTTGGGCAGTAATGTCAGAAGGGGTCAAACGCAGTGACCTCTGGGATGAGGTGGAAAATCAAGCCCGCCCCCGCTCCAGCTCGAGTCCCTCCTCCAGGCAGGTGCAGCCCAGGTGTGCACTGGTGGCCCGGTCCCTGTGGGGCTCCCTGCTGTCGCCACCCCTGTTAACAAGGGACACCTGGGCCCTGCTCCACCCCACTGCCCTCCGAGCCCCGTGGGCGGGCCAGGGAGCAGGGGCCCCAAGCTGGCACACACAGCCCCAGAAGGGCGGGGCCGTGTCACACGCGCCTCCCAAACTCCTGCCGCATCCAGGTCACCCCACCCTACGGAAGGTCATTGGTGGTCACTGGGGCACTGTCTGCTGGGCCATCGGACCCCACGGGTCAGGAACCCATCCTGTTTCCACGTCCCCGCCTGCTGACACCTGATGATGTCAGCAGAGTCCTATCTGGCAGGCTCGGGGACACCCACCCATCACCCCCTCCCAGGCCCAAAAGGAACGGGTCACACACCTTGCACATGGGTACCCTTCAAACGTTCATCAGGCACCTGCTGTGTTCCAGACGTGGGTTCAGACTACAGAAAGTGACAGAGCAGGGCAGCTACAGTCTCCCCAGCCAGACGCTGAGTCCAGGGGGTGAGGCTGACTCGGAAACAAGGACGCGCACTGCTCTGTGGTTCATGGCCACCCAGTGCTGTTCCCAAAAATCAGACCCGACAGTCTTACTCCCTTGCTTAAAACACTTCCAGGACCTCCCATCACTCGGAGAAAAAGCCAAAGTCCTTCCCGAGTGCGGGGGCAGGGCCTGGGCCAGATCTGGGCCTGCATCTCCGGGTTCCTGATGTGGCTTTCCTCGCTGTCCCCAGGATACGCGTCACGCCCGCCCCCCAGGCCGCGGCCTCGGCGCCCTCTCCTCCTGTCTGCACCCGTCAGTCTGCACGTCCTTCACCGGCTCACTTTGTCTTCCCTCCTCAGTAAAACGCAAGCTCCCAGGGACCCCGTCTGTCTCGGCCATCAGTACGTCCTGCGCCTGGCACGAAGCAGGAGTTAAATAAACGTGTGTTAAGTGAGTGAATAAATGCATTCAGACTCAAGCAAGTTAGCCGGCCTCTCCAGACCCCACTTTCCTCATCTTTAAAATGGGGAGAGCACAGCACCCCCGGGTGAGGATGGAAGAGGTGACACAGTCCCTGTGTCCAGGGACGCGTGGCAGGTGCTCTGACAGGTTGTGAATGGAATGCTTTCTCCACGCCAGGACAGGAGCGACCGGCCCTTCTGCAGAAGACGTGGCTCCACGCTGGCTCTCGAAGAATGAGTGACAGTTCTCCAGGGCCTGCTAGCCAGGGGACATGCGGTGCCAGGGCCGAAAGGCGGGGAGGGGCGCAGGGGGGTGTCAGATGAGGCTGCAGGAGAGGCGGGGCCAGGTTGGGTCTCCCATTTGCGGGGCCCAAGGGTCGTGGTCTGCACAACACCACGGGGAGAGGCGCCTGCATCTGTGTTCTCCGTGGCTGACCGGTTTGGACTTTCCAGCTCTAAGTAGGTTACTGTCCCTTAGGCTACTGAGGTCAGTTTCTAAAGAGAAGGGAAGACTCACAGCCAACACGTGGCCCCGACAGCTGCACTGGCAGCCCTCATCCACAATACAAAATGAGGGGTCTAGCTTGTGCATCCATCCCAGGGCCCAGAGGCTGCTCACACACGCTTCTCAAGCCCTTGCTGGAAGGTTCAGTCGTGCTGGGAGGGCAGGCGTCACGAGCTCCCCTTATTCTGACAGCCCCGGAAACAGGGGCTGGGAGGGGGGAAGGGCAGGAGAGCCTTAGCAGACACTAACCAGAGGAGGACGTGTGAGTGCTTCTCAGGGACCCCAAGGCCCCCTCCATATCACATCATCCACAAGGGAGAGCTGGGTCCCCGCACGCACGAGGGTCACACAACTTGGCATGGAGCCTAGCAGCCGTCCACAGGCTGCTTACCTAGACGTTGCCCCTCTTTCAAGGGGCAGCCCCTCTCAATTTCCCCCTCCTCCGCGAACCTTCCACGCCCTGCCCCCTCCCACCTCTGAACTCCAACTGCTCTGAGGACCGCTCACCCCACTTAAGAGTTTTCCAAGCTGACTTCTCAGATTGCAAGGAGTCAGATGCTACGAATAATAACGCATACGTATCGAACACGCTTGTGTGCTCGCCACCGTGCTAGGCGCTCTGCATACACGAGGTAGGTACTGTTGTTATACCCATTTTACAGACGGGGAAATTGAGGCACAGTGAAATTAGGTAACTTGCCCCAAGGCCACACAGCTAGTCTGTAGCTGAGCACCAGGATTCCAATCCTAGCAGCCTGACTCCAGAGCCCTTGCTCCTAACCGCTCCGTAACACCTCCTTCAACGTCCTTACCCGCTTCTTATCCCCATACATCTCTCTGAGTGGTGGGCACACACAACACCTGCAGGTTGAATCTTTTCCCCTTCGGCTCCAGACTCCTGGAATTGTGGTTCCCCACTAGAGGTGATACCAAATGGCCGCTAGGTGGCAGCAAAGACCCGGGCCCCGAGAGCAGGGATAAGGGGATGATAATAATGTTTACTGTATTTGGTGCATCTTGCACCAGGCCCTTTACCGACAAGATCTTTCCTCCTCACTGAGCCCTTCCCCCTTTACAGGGAGGAAGGACACTCACGCTGAGACAGCTCGGGCAGCAGGGAACAAGAGGACTGAGGCCAGTTCCCAGGAGAAACAGACCAGGGAAATCCCTCGGCGGGTCCCCTCCAGGCGCAGCGGGGAGGGGGGCACAGAACCTGACCTTTAGGTAGGGAGTGGACTTAGGGAGGGCGTGGACGGCCTGGGCTGCTCCAAGGCGGCACCCGGCAGGCTTCTTGGCTAGGAGGGGTTTGTGGTGAGACTCACAGACCATCCAGACTGCGTGGTCTCAGAAACCACTGGTCCACCGCAGACCTCTGACCAACTGTCTTGGCCTTCACCACACAGAGGAGGCCGCGTGACTCCGGCCTCACCGCCCACACTCAAAAGCTGGCTGCACCACTGCACTCCCACTCACTGTCTCGGGCTCCCCTGACCTGGGACCCACCCCCTGGGGCAGCCAGCGTGGCCACGGAGCCCATGCCTGGAGACGGATGAAAACTACCTGAAGAGCTCTGACCGCGTCCACTTCCAACCTCCCGAGAGTTCAGTCACCTCCACACCTGAAACCCACCCCCCCGGGACTGGACCGCGCCTCCCTGTCGGCTGTCCTGGGGCAGCAGCAGCAGAGGTGGCCAGGGCGGATGCATCCATCACTCCCAGGTGGCCGAGGTGCCCACACAGGACGCACAGGCCGAGGACCCACGCCCCCCTCAGGCCTCCCAGCGTGGCCAGCAGCGGGAGGGCAGCGGCTCCAGTGCAGCGCAGGGGCTGACCCATCTTGAGCTTCAGCATCTGGATGTTCCTGGCTGAGTCCACTGGGGCCTTGGCTTCAGGACCGCACCCCGGGGCTGCTTCCGGCCTGTTTCCCAGCCAGCCCCCTGCTCCCTCGGCCCCTCCCGAGGCTCACACAGCCAGATGGGGCCTCTGAAGGTGCACAGATCTTGGGTTTATTGGGCTCAGGCACTGTGGGTTCAGGCAGTTTGTTCCTGGGTACAAGAGTCATGACCTCAACTCTCCTGGCGCTTTGGGGGGGCTGCCCCCGCGGGTCCCCACCCCACGTCCCTGCGCACACGATGTCCTGCCCCCCTCCCTGCTCCCCGGTCTCTTATTCCTTCACCAGCCGGTAGATGTGGTGCTGAGCCCCGTGCTCACTGGCCGACACCTCGAAGACGTACGCGACGCACAGCAGCGTCTCCTGCGTGTCTCTGTTGGTGACCACCTGCGGGGGGGAGGGGAGGAGGGGGTCGGGGCCCAGGAGACAGCATGCCATCTTCTCTGCCCACCGCCCACTCCCACCCCCCAGCCCTGCGCGCACCCCTGCGCACCCCCGCGCGCGCACCCCCCCGTGCACCTGCAGGATGGTGAAGTTCTCCAGCACGCTGTTCATCATGCACTTCTCGGGCAGGTGCTTCAGCTTGTGGATGAAGTGGATCATGTACTCGCAGAGCGGCGAGCGCTGGATGCGGTAGCAGTAGTGGCCGTTCTCGTAGCGCGCGTACTCGGTCTGCAGGGCCCGGGGACAGTGGGGCTCAGGAGGCCGCCGCCCATGGCCAGCCTGGCCGGCCCCATGAGGAAGCTCCACAACCCGCCCGGCCTTAAGTGGGAAGGATGGGCAGAACCCAGGGAGCCCTCGAGACAGAGCACCCCCCGCCCCGTGACCCAGACGCCGGGTATCGGAGGAAGGAGCTTCAAGACGTGGAGACGAGGACGGAATGACAGCTCAATCCCGGCCGCACATGGGGGATGGGCCACAGGGACCTTGTGGCCACGGAACCGTCACGTATGTGTAGCTACACATCTGGGCACACACACACAGGCATGCATACAAATGAGTGCGTGTAAACGGACGGAATGTGACTCAGGTTGGTGGGCTACATCGGTGTCAACAGCCAGGTTACTAATGGTCCACTCTAGGTATGTAAGATGCTGCCATCGGGGCAACTTGGGAAGGGATTACCGTTGCACGTGGATCCACAACGATCTCAAAATTAAAATTTCACTGGAAATAACTAACTCGAAGAGCTTCTCAGAGACCACTGCTGCCTGGGCTCCACCCGAAGGGTCGTGGGTTAAGAGCTGTAGGGGAGCTCAGCTCTGGGGTGCTGGAACGGCTCCCCGTGACCTGATGGGCAACAGGTGAGGCCCACCAGGATGG